CCAAATTCTCCTCCTCTTATCTTTCTTTTTATTTGAAGAATCATGATTAAGTCACATTAACATCTCATATCAACTGTTTATAAAGAGATGTCACTTAGTACTATGGTCTACTAGTATTCTGCTTCAGCTGTAAGTGAGAGGTTCTAGGTTCGATTCTCACCAAGGCAAGTTTGAACCACATTATTGCTAACATATTGTAAGACTAAACCTAGCCCCCTCCTCTTAGTGTATTTAATATTGTTTGTTCAAAAACTCTTTATAGAGAGATAAAGACTGAGGAGGAAAGTATGAGAGGAGGTGAGGGAAGAGAAATTGGAGGGAGAGAGTCATACTCCAAAAAGTGAACACTAGATGTTGACTTGACTAATCATGACCATTCGAATATGAGGAGACTAAAGGGAAGGAGGGTTTAGCGGGGAGAGAATCGTACTCCATTTTACGCAGCTCTAGAGTATATAGAAGAATAAGTATTTATAGGAGGAATGGATATGGGATGTTGGATAAATAAATGATACCTAAGTTAATTGGGTAGAAAATACAAAAAGCCAAACCGAACAAAATTCAAACAGCCAAACGTCTCTCAATTAAATCTTACGTTACAAATGTTACAAAATAAATGAAATGTTACGTTACAAATGTTACAGGATAAATGAAAATTAATAAATAGTTAGTCTTGATTTTATGACTTCAAAAGTGCTGGGGAACTTTGAGCGTTGTGTTTCTTGTCAAACCAAATACAAGAACTATCACAATGAAGAGCAAAATGCGCTGAACGGTGGGCGATAATATTTAATTGCTTGTTGATGTACAAGAGTAGAGCGACCTTCAGATTGTAGACAACATAAGTTTGCAATCCTCAACAATAGGTCCAACCGAAGACACATTGAGAGAGCCGTCGTCCAAAAGAAAAGTTACAATCTAGAGTGAATCGCTTTCCAAAGCCATCACGAGCAGCCATCACTTCAACTTGCAGAGAAAGGTAATAGGGTCATATCGTCTCGCAAAGTTGCCATCACAGTCTCTTACAATGCCACCAACTCCACCCAAACTGATACCAGGACCCATCAATAGTTAACTTGAGTCTACCACTAGGCTTGGACCCTTACAGGACAGCTGTGAATGATCTCTGTTCGCTGCAGTTCCAGAGAAAGCAACTCGGCTAAATATTCTCGACACCAACTAATTAACAGACCAATAGTCGAAGAACTAGAAAATCAACAACCACGCACGTGATGCCACGCTGAAGCTGAGATACAAGAGAAAACGCGTGCGGGAGCGGGTTAGGCTGCCAGTGGTAGCTGGGGGGTCGCAGTCCTCCCTCCCACACCTTTATAAACTAGCAACTCTTGAGCAGAATAAGCTCTCTTTTGGATATTCTTCCGAGTTTCTATTGTTACTTACTTCAGTAAGCACGTACACAGATTCAAGAGAAGATATGGGATCGAAGTCTGAATCCGTTTGTGTCAGTGGCGCGTCCGGTTTCATCAGCTCCTGGCTCGTCATGAGACTCCTCGAGCGCGGTTACACCGTCCGCGCCACCGTGCGTGACCCCAGTACGTCTATATATATCCTACATTTTGCTTTTTGACTTTTCGGCTTTCATAAGTATTTGGTTAGAGTTAATGTTTTGTGATTTTATTAATGGACTGCAGCGAATCAGAAGAAGGTGAAGCATCTGTTGGACTTGCTGAAGGCGGAGACGCACCTGACGCTGTGGAAGGCGGATCTGGCGGACGAGGGAAGCTTTGATGAAGCCATACAAGGCTGCACCGGAGTGTTCCATGTTGCTACACCTATGGACTTTGAGCCCAAGGACCCCGAGGTGTCATGCATGCATGCACAAAGAAAAAATGATACATATACTATACTGCTGTACGTAGTAATACGAACAGGGAAATTAAAACTCGTATCAAAAGATAAAGTACTGAGAAGTGGTAACTAAAACAAGATAAGATATTAGAAAACTAAATTTTGTATGGTTTGACAGAATGAAGTGATCAAGCCAACAATCAATGGACTTTTGGACATCCTGAAGGCATGCCAGAAAGTTAAAACAGTTTGAAGGTTGGTGTTCACATCCTCAGCTGGAACCGTTATTATGGAAGAGCACAAAAAGCCGGTCTACAACGAATCCAACTGGAGCGACGTTGAATTTTGCCGCTCCGTCAAGATGACTGGTTGGGTAAGTAAACATAATCGATTTGTTATTGGTATTTCAAAATAATAGACACGAACAATACATATTCTACATTTAACCTACTTTGTTCAGATGTGCTTCGTCTCCAAGACTTTAGCTAAGCAAGCTGCATGGAAGTATGCCAAAGAAAACAACATTGATTTCATCACCATTGTCCCAACTCTTGTGATTGGTCCATTTCTCACGCCATCTATTCCACCAAGCCTTATCACTGGACTTTCACCAATCACACGTAAAATTAAAATATCACTCGAATAAAAGAAGTAAGTGTTGTATAGTTCTATTGTTAATTATTAACCTATGTAATTAACATCAAATTATTTAATTATTTCAGGAACTAAATCACATTATGGCATCATCAATCAGGGGCAGTATGTTCACTTGGGCGACCTCTGCCTTTCTCACATCTATTTGTACGAGCATTTGAAAGCTGAGGGCCGCTACATTTGTTCGTCACATGATGCAAAAATTCACGACCTTGTGAAAATGCTCAGAGAAAAATACCCCGCGTACAATATTTCCACAAAGTAATTGCTAATTAATCCCTCCTAACCCTTAAGATAAATTAACTAATCAATTCTTTGTTACGCATATCATAATTGTTAACTAAACGCTAATGCAATGCAGGTTCGAGGGCATTGACGACAACTTAGATACTATTCATTTTTCTTCAAAGAAGTTGAGGCACATAGGGTTTGAGTTCAAGTACAGCTTGGAGGACATGTTTGTGGAGGCTGTTGATACGTGCCGGGCAAAGGGCTTGATTTTTATTCCGGCCGAGAAAACTGAGGCTGCTGATGAGAGCAACGTCGTCGACGTCAAAATTGCCGGTTAAAATATTGATGAGGTGATTAATGTTTGCATTTTGTGTCGAGGCTTAATCTCTGTTGTTTTACATTTGATGGCCTGGATTTGATCTCTGTTGTTAAAAAGCTAATCTCCAATTAAGTATAATATTAGAAAGTACGCGACTCAAATTATAATCAAGAAAAGTAGGAGCCACAGCTCGAAGTTCACAACAAATGACGAAAAGTCCAACTGCCAAAAAAAAAAAAAAAAAAAAATCATTGTCGTACACCATTTCGAGCGGGAAATAGTACTCAAAGGTGAAACATAATGCAAAGGATCTTCGATCCCTTCCTCTTAATCTACCAAGTTCGGAGATTCAGGTCATTGAAATGTGATCAAACAGTTAAAGTTATTATAATTTTTAAAGTGGACTTTTGTTTGTAACCGTTTGATCAAATTTCAATGGTCTGAATCTCCGAACTTGGTGGATTATGAGGAAGAGATCCGGAGATGATCCATTTCCAAACAGAATGTCTACTAGTGCAAATAAATATTAGAAACACTAGTAGACATTCTCTCTTGCTTGACCCTGGCTACGGGCATGGTGAACTTCCCCATAGCCTATTTGGGTCTGAAAATGATGGATAACCGTGGCTTACCACCAGTTATCCTCCTTTTTAAAAAAGAAAAAGATTTATGTTGTTGTGTGCAGTGGTGGATCTAGGAAAAATTATTTGGAGGGTCACATGGAAAAGTTCACAAACATTTCTTAGACACATTATAACCTTCAAAATTAAACCATAGTTCCATTATTCATAACTTATAGAACAAATAACAATACAAGTTACAATAGTCAATGACTTGTTTTCACATTTTGAAAATACTCCATCATAGCTTCATTATCAACAGAAGAAAAAACACTGATTTAAGCTGAAAATCGCCGATTTCTCTACAAATCCTTTACTCCATATAGGGAATCACATTCACAAGAAGTTGAAACGTCTTTCTATTCAACAAACTAGAACGTATAGAAGGTTTGCGTGATGGTAATAATTTGATTATTGGACGTAGATTTATTGACACATTTTAGTTTTTGTGTTTTTTTGTACCATACTTCACTAATCCCTAAACTACCGAGCACTAGTCAACTTTATGCTTTTAGGGACCCACTAAAAGACTCATGTTGAGGCACCCCTACCAAAGCACAAGGATTTCTCTCCAACCAAGAGGCCAATTACGATGCGACACGTGCCAACATTAGAATAAAGCTCCTAGAGTCGCACATAGACTGCAAACAAAAGCATGCGACTTTCGTCAACTATAGAAGGAGATCATTCTTCTATGATTAATCCCTAATGCCATTATTATACCTAATTCATTATTAGAACTCACTAATAATGATTATGCTTGAACCTTTGTATTATGTAAACTCTACATTATTAATTAGAACTCCTCTACCCTCATGGATATAGCCAAACTTAGGATAAAACACATACATCTTGTTACTCTCGCTAAGTGACCAGAACAACCTCTTGGATCAGGTCACAACTTTAACACTTTACATAAGTCCATCCAATTTTGTGCATTTTATTTTCTTATTATTTATATAAGTCCATCTAATCTAACAAAATCTATAATTTGCCTCCAAAAAAAAAAAAAAAAACTAAAATAGAAAAATATAATAAAAGAATAAGCTTACTAATGATATTTAAATCATTTATAGATCTTAAATTAAATCCGATAAGATTTTGATCCGATCCAAATGAGATGCTAATCAAATTTGTCCAATTTTCTGATCATTAATAAATATCATATTTTTGCTAAAATAAATAATTATTTCGGGTATACTTTCAGGTAGTGAGGTGAATTTTTAAAATGTATATCGAAATATATATCAAATTCGTAAATCCGCTACGTTTAGAGGTCTACTTTACTAAATTATGATGCAAAGTGTAATTTGCTATAAAACTTTCCTCTAATTGACACGTGGGATAAGAATCACCCCTGCTAATAAAACTCCGTGACTGTTTCGGGCCTCTGCAGTTTTCGATTTTATGAAAAACCGCTGAAACTGTTCCCACCAAAACCAATGGCGGCGGCGATTTCTTCTCACCTCGCGTTCCGATCAGAGAAACCCTCTCTCTCCTCTTCATCTTCCTCTTTCTCCGGCCAGAGTATCCGATCGCCTCGATGCTCCGCCAAGCTCACGGGCATTTCCCGGCCTTCTCCGGCGAGCCTCCGACGAATCTCGTGCCAGAGCTCCGTTGCTACTTCGCCTGCATCAGTCGCCGACGGAACAGGTCAATTCTCGTCTCTCATTCTTAATCTGACTGATTACTTGTTTAGCTTGAAGTTAATTTCTGTTCTTTCGCTTAATACGTTTGGATTCGGGGTTTCGGCACTGTGTTGGATTTGTTTTTGTGCGATTCCAAATTGCAATGGTAAAGTGCTTGATTAGGGTCTAGGGTTCTTGAAATTCTCGGAGGTAATTAAATGGCGATGTTCTTGAACAATGCAGGCATGTGAGTGTGTTGGTGAGTGAATGTCATTTCGGTTTGGAAGATTTGGCCGTTGTGGAAATTAGGGTTTCTGATGGAAATTAGATATAAGGCAATTAGAACTGTGTCGCCTCGCTGATTAGAACTTTGCAAATGTTGAATTGTGTTAGCTGTTTACAGTTTCATCTCGAAAACTGATTCTTGAAATCTCCGAGCTTATGAAGAACCTAACTGTAACCGGAACTGTAATTCTTTATCTTAGACGACGGTGCTGAATTGTGAGAAGAATAGATGACTTTGGTGAAATGTTGCCACAATATTAGTGCTTGTTTGGATGTGCTTGTAAAATGACGGGAAGTGGTGAAAATGTTTTTGGAACCAATTCTTAGTAAAAATACAAGTAAATTCTGGAAAAGCACTTAAAGTGCACCTGGAAGAAGCACATAAGTGGTGCTTCTTGAGAAAGCACTTTACGTGCTTTTGGAACCAAAAAACATTTTCTCTAGAAGTGCTTTCAGCCATTTTAAAAGCACATCCAAACGAGCTCTTACTTGAGAAAACTTATACCGTTGCGTTATCTTATGGCTCAGCAAAATCAATTATCTTCTGACTTGCTGCTTTCCACGTTTCTTCATTTTTCAGCAAAATCTCAGCTGAAGGATTTTCTGCACATAAATGATTTTGACAAATCCACTATTCTGAAGATCTTAGACCGAGCTGCGGAGGTCAAGGCACTTCTCAAATCAGGAGACAGGTCATTTCAACCTTTTAAGGGCAAGACAATGGCTATGATCTTTGCAAAGCCTTCCATGAGAACCCGTGTCTCATTCGAGACTGGGTTTTTCTTGCTAGGAGGTCATGCCATATACTTGGGACCTGATGACATTCAGATGGGTAAGCGGGAGGAAACTCGAGATGTTGCACGTGTTCTGTCTCGCTATAATGACATTATTATGGCGCGCGTCTTTGCTCATCAGGTATGCTGGTGAGTTCTTAGTTTGTAATTTACCAAAGGCGATAGACTTGCGTAATTAAAGTTCAGTTCTGGGCTGGTTAGAGTATTTGTTATGGCAGCAGTATGTCCATGTGTTGTGAGTTTTCTCATGGAATCTCGTGAATGTTTCCGCTTGAGCAACGTACTTAGAAAAGATTTTTCTTCACCTGTTTTGTCGCAGGATATCCTTGATTTGGCTAAATTTTCAACTGTACCTGTTGTCAATGGCTTGACAGACTACAACCATCCCTGTCAAATTATGGCTGATGTCCTCACTATCATTGAACACATTGGCCAGATAGAAGGAACTAAGGTCGGTCCATTGTTTTGCTTGCAAATTACGGTTTTTATTCTGCTAGATTTAGAATACAGTTTCCGACTGTAAATTCTCCGCAAATTTCAGGTTGTCTATGTCGGAGATGGAAACAACGTTGTCCACTCCTGGTTGTTGATGGCTGCTGTTATTCCTTTCCACTTCGTTTGTGCATGTCCCAAAGGTTTTGAACCAGATAAGAAAACAGTTGAGAAGGCGCAGCAGGCGGGTATCAGCAAGATTGAGATTACAAACGATCCAAAGGAAGCGGTCAAAGGAGCCGATGTTGTGTACTCAGATGTGTGGGCTAGCATGGGGCAAAAGGAGGAGGCTGATTCTCGCCGTAAAATTTTCCAAGGATTTCAGGTATGCGCTATGTTTATCTAAAATTTTCCAAGGATGTTAGGTATGTTTGTCCGGTCGGGTGGCTGATGTTGGTTATATTTTTTACTTGTATTTCGCTCTGTTACTACAGGTTGATGAAAATCTAATGAAGATAGCAGGGCCGAAAGCCTATTTCATGCATTGTTTACCAGCAGAAAGAGGAGTGGAAGTGACCGACGGAGTAGTTGAGGCTCCAAATTCTATTGTCTTTCCCCAAGCCGAGAATCGAATGCACGCGCAGAACGCTATCATGCTTCATCTGCTCGGAGTTTGATCATATATGATATCCCTAGCAATGAAACCGGAAACTGCCTTGGTGTACCGAGTTGTATCGACAACAGTACAAGAACGTTTCAAGTTTAGAGACACTTTTTAGCCTAAAATTAGGTGCAGAATTGTGCTTTCGGATCGGTACTTGTTTGCTTGTTATCATCTATGGAGCAGATCAAATGCAAACTTAATGCATGAAGTTTTCGAGTCAAAACTGGATTGAAGTATTTGGGGCAACTAGGGATGCCATTTTCTATTTGGATATGGAGGCTAACCCTCGTAGGGCATGAGAGAGACCAGGATATGCCTCGGTTATGCCCAAGAATTTACCCAACTATATGGTTCGGCCAAATCCTAGATGTAACCGTTATTATATTCCCTGTATCTCTCTCTCTCATCACGTTTTATCTCCGACAACTCCTTTGATGTTAGCCTGTTGTTTTCTCCTTCATATAAGGATCACAACCCAAAGAAATAACATCTACGTGACTCACACGAGGAAGACGAGAAAAGGACGAACCAAAACGAGGACGAGGACGAGGACGGCTTTTCCTACTTTTCTTATTTCTGGGTAAAGAGGATGATAAGATTACACTTCCATTTTCTACAAAGAATGCCTACAATCTATTTCCTAATATTGCTATATAAATTATTCCAAGAGGAACCTATCGCAGTAATACTTTATTTGCTCCTCTGTACGTACCAAAAAAAAGAGTCTACCGCTCTTCTACGTTGAATCTATTCCAAGCCTCCTGGAGAGTAAACCCGAAAAAAATATAAGTAAAGACTCAAAATTTTGATCTCGATCTTTACATATTCGGGGACAGAAGATTGGAAACGCACCTGTAGAAGATCAAACACCTTCTCGCAAGTGTACTTCTGCTGTATGCTTGCACCCCGTTGCTGTAACTTGTCAGGATGAACAAAGAGAGCAGCTTTACGGTAAGCTTTCTTTACAGCCACAGTTGTAATGATTTCTGTTAGAGGAATTGGCTGCCAGCCACTATCCGGCCCGAGGATCTGCCAGTTACAGACATCAAGTTAAAACTAGCTAATTATGGAGGAACTGGAAATTTTGGTCTGCTTTGGCTACAATCATCATCATTGAACACTGAAGATGAAACAGAAACAAAGCATACTAATATCGCAAAAGAAACATGAATCAGGCTGGCACATACATATTGTAGCGTTGAAAGTAGTGCCCGCAAATTTCTCTCTTTCCCGCTTGACCACCTTTTGACCTCGGCATCAAGACCTTCTGCTAATCTCTGCACAAAATTATATGCACAAGAGTGAGAAAACGTTTGGTGTGTACGTAAACGTGTATTCACAAGAGTGAGAAATTACATTTCTCTCAGCTTGCTCTTTCTGTACAAGAAGATCACGCATATTCTTCTCCGCAAGAGCTTTAGCCTGAAGGAGGTTGGAAAGAGTAAAAAATATCAAGCAGAGCTTGTTATAAGTCACCACTGTGTATTCAGAACCAGCAAAGATCAAGAAGATCAAAACCGAGAAAGATCAGAAACATACCGCACGTTCAGCCGTCCGTTGATTCCTCTCCAACTTAGCTTTGCACCTTTGAGATGATTCAACATTACTTCCACCACTCCTCTCAGCAGGGGAAGGATCTTCATTAAGGAAAAAAATTGTTCAGAAGTCGCAGAGAGTTAAATAGTACATACCCTATAATTGAATGCTATGATGACACAGTAAAAATACGAGATCAATGCATAGAATGGAATGCTATAATGGCACTGAGAGATAACCACATACCGCTGTTATTTGAAGAACTTGGGTATCTTGATTTAGACTCTGGGTCCTGCAAGAATTTTTATTATCCATTAATTTTTGTTGTTAGAGCTGGACAAGCTTCATGATACTTGTAAGAGTAAACCATTAAAACAAATACTCACAGAGGGCGAAACACCCAGCTTCATTCCATCATCTCTAGAAGCACCAGAAGATTTCTCAGAAACAGATCTCTTAGCTTGCTTTCCTGCCTCGTAAGCCTTCCCGGATAATGCTTTTTCTAAGGCACGCTCCCGAGCCTCTTCAGTTGCTCTTTCCACAGCAGCACGTTCAGATTTTAGTTTAGCTTCCTTTGAAGCCTTCTCAGCTAAGGAAATATCATTAGCCTTTACAGAAGTCTTTCCCGACCTTTCTTGGGCCTCAGCGATTGCCTTTTGACGAGTTTCAGCAGCTCTTTCTCGAGCTTCAGCAAATGCCCTTTCGCGAGCTTCACGAATTACCCTTTCAACAGCTTTTTTCTCCTTTACTCTTTCCCTTTCCCTCCCTTTTGCATTCTGTTTTTGTTTCAGGAGTTCCTTCTCTATCTCTACTTCCTTTTGCAATCTAGCACTAGTTTCACACTCTTCTGCAGTCGGGGTTTCTTGTTGATTTTCCATTTTTTGTTGTTCCACTTCTTTCTTTGAAGTATGACGTTTTTCACTTTTCTTTGCAGTCAAGGTTGTTTGACGATTCTCACCTTTTTCTTGTTCCAAGACTTGCAGCGAACTATGAATGATTACACACTCTTCTGTCGTGGTTGCTTTATGATTATCCATATTTTCCTCTGCACATGTTGTCTCCGTCTCATGATCCAGTCGCACATTTCTGCCCTTTCTTCTTAGGATATGAGAAAGCTGAGCTACTTCTGTACTGGTCCCATCATCAAACCACCTTTTCCTGTGAGAAGGTTTGGAATTATTCTTGTTCTCTTCCTGATCCACAGCAACTTCAATTTCCTTCACATCCTCATTGATTTCTTGCATTTCTTCGACATGCTTTTCTAAAGTGACATCTTGCTTTTGCCCACAGTTCATGGCATTTATATCTACATTTATCCCATTTTCTTCACAAGGATGGCTCTCAATTGGATCTTCCATTTGCTTCAGTATCTCAGCAAGTTTGACACCTGAAGCCAAGCCATCAGCTTCACATATTTCTTTCTCCTCCATGCCATTCCCCTCTTCAACTGATTCTGATTGGTTCCCATTCTCCTTGAGCTTAATAAGAGTTTCAGAAACATCGAGTTTATCAAACCATCTTTTCCTATGTGAAGACCTGGAATTATTCCTGTTCTCTTCCTGCTTCGCAGAAACTTCAGCTTCCATCATATACTTATTTATATCTCCCAATTCTTCAACTTGTTTTCTGAAATCGTTGACTACTTCAGTCTCTCTAACAAGCTGGTGATCTTGCTTTTGACCAGAGCTCATGTCATTTCTCTTCAGAGTTATTCCATTTTCGTCACAAGAATGGACCTCTGTTGCATCTTGTACTTGCTTTGGTAACTCAGCAAGTTTGCAGTCTGTTTCATGCATCTCTTTCTCTACTGTGCCATTATCCTCTTCAACTGATTCTGATTGGTTCACATTCTCTTTGAGTTCATCCAAAGTTTCAGCAACTTCTATTCTATCCCCGTCCTCTTCATGTGCAGGTACCTTCAGAGCTTCTTCTACATCCTTGTCATATTCTGCATGTCCGGTGGGCCCCTCTTTTTCGTCTAGGTCCTCACCGTCACCCTCCTCACATAGGTTATTAGTTGCCTCAAAATTGCAGTCTGTTTCATGCATCTCTTTCTCTACTGTGCCATTATCCTCTTCAACTGATTCTGACTGGTTCACATTCTCTTTGAGTTCATCCAAAGTTTCAGCAACTTCTATTCTATCCCCGTTCTCTTCATGTGCAGGTACCTCCAGAGTTTCTTCTACATCCTTGTCATACTCTGCATGTCCAGTGGACCCCTCTTTTTTGTTTAGGTCCTCGCTGTCACTCTCCTCACATAGGTTATTAGTTGCCTCAAAATTGCAGTCTGTTTCATGCATCTCTTTCTCTACCGTGCCATTATCCTCTTCAACTGATTCTGACTGGTCCACATTCTCTTTGAGTTCATCCAAAGTTTCAGCAACTTCTATTCTATCCCAGTCCTCTTCATGTGCAGGTACATCCAGAGTTTCTTCTACATCCTTGTCATACTCTGCATGTCCAGTGGACCACTCTTTTTCGTTTAGGTCCTCACTGTCACCCTCCTCACATAGGTTATTAGTTGCCTTAAAATTGCAGTCTGTTTCACACATCTCTTTCTCTACTGTGCCATTATCCTCTTCAACTGATTCTGAATGGTCCACATTCTCTTCAAGTTCATCCAAAGTTTCAGCAACTTCTATTCTATCCCCATCCTCTTCATGTGCAGGTACGTCCAGAGTTTCTTCTACATCCTGGGCATACTCTGCATGACCAGTGGGGCCCTCTTTTTCATTTAGGTCCTCACTGTCACCCTCTTCACATAGGTTATTAGTTGCCTCATAATTGCAGTCTGGGTTCTTTAGATCCTCTCGAGCCTCTGTCACCTTCTCATCTTCTGTACTCTGATCAATCAGTACTTCCATTCTCCCATCTACTACACATGGAAAACTCTCTTGTTGCCTCTTCTCACATTCTATCTCCTGACTAGCAGCCCCTTCAGGTATCATCTCAGGTTCTCTCAAGTCGTCAAGCTTCTCATGTCCTTCAGACTTGCTCTCATTTCTCTTCTCAACATATTCCTCATCGTTAGAGTCCTTAAGTGTCTCCTCAATGATGTTTTGCCTGTTGTCCTTGTTGAACCACCTCTCAGTGTCTTCTCCCCTGTGGACATGTTTTTGCTCCCTCTCATCTTCTTCCTGCTTGTAAGCCTCGTCGCCTATCTTCTCATAGTCAACCCACTCTTGTGACATCAATTTCTGTTTCACATGTCTGGTTTCCTGTAACTCTTGAGTTTCATGCCTTCTGTTGTATCCTTTTAGCTTCTCGAGCTCCCCTGGCTTCTCTTCAAGAATTTCCTTCAAATAGGAAGCCTGAAGCTTCCCAGTTTCTTCATGCACTCTGGAAGCTTCCAGTCTATTCTCATTTTCTTCCTGATCAAAAGCATCTTTAACTGTTTCCAGTTCACTTGCATGTTCTTCACACTTAGATGACCCTGCATCCAGACTGAATATCTTCTCTAACTCCCCTTGTTCATCGTATTTAGCTGCTTGTAATCTCTCGCCACATAGTTCTGGATTTTCAAATGCTTCCGTGGTTGTCTTCTTCCTTTTCTGTTCCTCTTCAACAGCAATTTGTATCATTTTTATGGCAGGGTTGGCTTCTTCATCCTCTACTGTTGTAGCCTGGTGTTCACTTGAGTCAGAAAACTCATAGAACACTTCTGCTGGTTCTGATAGATCAAGTTCT